TGACAAGTTATTGGAGATATACATACAATTAACTGTAACAAAGGTAAAAGTTATTTGCTAAGTACAGAAAGAAGCTTAGAACATAACCACTTTGAAACATACCATTTTCAGAGGACATTTTACTTATGTTTACATGTCCATGGATAGTTAGTGAAATAACATTTAAAGACAACAAGTAACCAATTGGTCCATCTAGGCTGTCCCATCCATAAGACTAAACTATTAAAAAACCATAGCCAGCCCTTATCAATCATCAAGTCTTTTCTTAAACTCCCTTATATTAGCTGTGTCCACCACAACTGAAGGCAACCCATTCCAAAGGCCAACTATCATGTTAGAAAAATAAAACTATCTAAGCTGAATATGACTTATGTCTTGCCAAAATATATATATATATATCTGTGTTCCCTAGTCCTACCATTCTCATCATAAAGTACAAAACAACTGATGTATCAACACCATCATTTCTCTTGACAATCTTAAACACCTGAAAATCAATATACACTAAATCCACATCCTTACCCTCAACTACACAAAAAGTAACCTCTTCAAAGAATGCCAAAATATTAGTAAGGCAGGTTTTTCCCCCGGTAAGACCAAGTTGAATATTCAACAAAATTTCGGACTTTGTTAAACGACTTTGCGAAGTATCTTTTGATTTTATCAGACTTTCAAAAGCATTTCCCACCACTGAGTCAACTTGTATTTTGTAAGACTAATGGGCCTGTTAATTAGCTTGATAATTTAATAACTACAATATCTCCATGCTCCCGAAACATTGTTAACGAATAATAAATCAAGACAATTATGAACACTATTAACCTTTCTTAGAAACATTCTTGACCTATGTTATTTTATATACACAAATTATACAAACATTAAATCACCTGGCAACCATGTCTTCTCCTACAGTAACAGTGCACACTCCATCTTGGCAGTGTTTACCCATCAGTTTATGAACATGAGGCTTTGGCTGGTCATCAATAGTATACAGTATAGCTTTAATATATACCTGACTATTATGTTGTTGGTAATTCTCTAGCTGTGAAAGTAACATAAAAAAATATATTAGTTAGTAAATATAAAAAACAGTATTAATCCTTCTTTAAAGATAGTTCGATTCATTACAAACTGGTTTACTCAAGAATATCATATGCGCATGGTTACCGCTAATTAAGCCTTTAATTAGTGTATATATTGTTATTGTGGTTTGTTAGATAAATCGCTTAAAAACGTTTTTCTTGTTTTTAGATACAGTGGTACATACACGAGATCCGTTAACAATTTTCGTATCCTTAGAATTTCTTAGACAACAAAAATTTTACATAGCAAAATATTAACTAGGTAAACAGACAGCGCCTTAGTGACTCACAAAATTAATATTCACTTGTCTATCAAGATAGATAAACTTTGTAAGATTATTTGTAGTCAGTCCTGTCGTCATAATACTCACAAAAATTAAAGGATAATGAGGTTTGTTTAAATTTGTATATTTTAGGTTATCAATTTTTGTTTTCAAATTTAATATGCTTATTTTAGAGGATTGCATTAATCCTACCCAAGGTTTGCATGTTTGTGCACCAATGATTCCTTATCTAATAGGCCTTTATGAGAAATGACTCAAATTCCGCAAAGCCAAAGGCTAGTTTGATTGATTAAAGAAAATGTTTACTGTCGAGGTAATGATAGGTTTATGAGTTTTTTGCTGGTATTCACTTTTACAAAGAGTGTGCAAGATGTTCGAAACTAATTGAAACTGAAGTTTGCAGAGTCGCCACACTGCTACAGGATGGACGCAACCAGACTGGGATGGCACAGATCATGGGATGTCATAATTTGTGGGCAGTAAATTGTGGTGCAGATACTAGTCCACAGAATAACACCCCAAAAGCCCAGACCAGGGCCGTAGAATACTACAGATACAATAGACGACCGATATCTGCTAAATTTAGCCCTTAGAAACTGCTCCAGCAGCGCTAAGGGTTTCAGGAACGAGCTTCAGCAAGCCACTGGAGTACAGATATCGAGATCATCTATCAGAAACGGGCTCCATAAGGCTAGACTCAGGTCCAGGATGCCAGTTAGAGCCCCTGTACTAACCCCAGGGCTCAGAACAGCCCGGCTGACGTTTGCTCAGGAACATGTCATCTGGACTCTTCAGCAATGAACCCTTGTACTGTTTACAGATGAGAGCAGGTTCTGTGTATCATCAAGTGATCGACGTGTGAAGGTCTGGAGACTTGAAGGAGGAGCAATATTCGGCTTATAACACTATGATGCCTTGATGGTATGGGTAACATCAGCATCCAGGGGCGCACAAGACCCATATGTGGTGGATGGAGGATCCCTGACAAAGACATAACGTGGATGAGATCCTGCTACCCATTGTACGCCCTTTTGCTGGTGCTGTCAGAGATGAGTTCGTATATCAGCAGGATAACACTCGTTCTCTTACCGCCAGGATCACGCAGCAATTTTTTTTTCAGGATGAAGGAATAAAGGTACTGAACTGGCCTGCTAAGTCACTGGACCTAAATCTGATTGAAAATGTGTAGGACTTCTAAGGAAAAGCAGTAGAGACAAACAACCTCTTCCTAGGACAGTCGAGGAACTCAGAGCTGCGCTTACACAGGAATGGACTGTGCTGTCCCAGTAAGTCACGCGAAATGTCATCAGCGGTATGAGGAATAGTTGCACTTACCCAGGAATGGACTGTGCTGTCCCAGTAAGTCACGCGAAATGTCATCAGCGGTATGAGGAATAGTTGCACTTACCCAGGAATGGACTGTGCTGTCCCAGTAAGTCACGCGAAATGTCATCAGCAGTATGAGGAATAGTTGCAGAAGAATCAAACAATAGAGGAGAACCCACCAACTACTAAAGACTGATTTTGTTAAATTTGTTTATGTTAATACCTTAAATTTTCTTTGGTATTTGTGCAGCCAAATATTGACATTTTTGTTTAATTAGCTTTTTTTTTGTCGTTCGTACATGAATTTTTTCGATTTCCTTGGCATTGTTTGCCTGTGATATTTGTTATAAACTAGTTTCGTCAGTATTGAGCGCCTCTCTGTGTATTTTCTTCAAATTTTGAAAAAAAAAAATCAAAACCTCATTATTCTCCTATTTTTTTTTTACTAGTGTTTAATATCTGTGAAATATTGGACATTTCTATACATATAACACATATCCAAGACTTTAACAAAAACAAATTTTATCCGAGAGTAACTAATAAAAATAATTATTGAGATAATACTGGAAAAATTGCTTTGTAGTAATGGTTTCCTATATTTTTTAATAGTTTGAACAGAAAATAACAATGAAATATAAAATACTCTCTGTAAAAACAAAACAAAAACACTGTTTTTATAATGACATTTTCAAGTTTATTTAAGCGATATTTTCAAATGTTAAAGAAGACACATCTATTGTTAGTCCTATAACTGGAATTCAGCTATACTATCTCCAAGCATCTTAAGCTAATGTGAGATAATAGCAATTTTCCTCCATTTCTAAAAATATCGCTGCAATACTGCGTTGTTAAAGTTGCTAAAAAATATCTTAAAAGGCAAGCAAAAATACTAATAATTTCATACTACTACTACTACTGTTTACAGTTAGAAAATTTTACCTACAGTTTATATAATCTCAAGAAGTTTGCAAGATGAATTACTTATTTTTTGTTTACAACAGAAATAAAAAGAGCTTTCTTAGTTTTGGCTTCCTTATAAAAGGCTGGTAGCTCTGCAGTAAGTTTGAGGGCTTATAACGCTGAAAATCAGATTTGAATACCCGCGATGTGGAGCTTTGTGCTTAAAAGTAAACAAACCTAGTAAAAGCAGATCATAATTCAGGGTTATAAATTATATATTACATTATAAATGTAATGACAGTGAAACCTAAAGTGCACGAGTCTTTAATCTTGCGTTAAAACGAGCTATAGGAATGACAGGACTTGTGTTTATAGTTAGGACAGTCTTCATATAATTAACTTCACAGTCTTTATGACCCAGTAAACGATCATAAATGGTTGTAATCACTATTTCCACTTTCCAGGATTTATAGCTCTCGAATAATATTTTTGTAATTTCCAGAATTTCGACCGAATGTGCAACAGATATTAATGGATTTCCAGAAGATCGTCAAGATTTCGCCAATTTTAATTAAATAAATACAAAATAAACTATATGAATACTTGGTTACTATTAAAAGAAGTAGAAAATCGTGTAAGTGTAGTTTATATTTTACTTAGAAATGAAAGTTATACTAGTGGCGCACCGAATGCAGCTGAATAAGTGCGTTATAAGAGTGGCGGTCAAAACTTACTATTTGGTTTGACAAGAGTTGACGGTGAGGTGATATTGACGAGTTTCCTTCCTTCTAATCTATCATTTCAAAATTATGGACGCAAGCGAAGATAGTTCCTGTGTGGCTTAGTGAGAAATTCAACTAACAAACAAGCAATACACTTTGGGGTGGTGGTGGTGCAGAAATACGTATGTTAGTGTACTTGCATGCGTATGTATTTTAACATTAAATACTTATCGATATTGTTAGAAACTCGCCTAACGATGAGTCATAAATCATAATATTGAAATTTAGATTTGTGAGAGATGCTTGTAATCATGGGGAAAATTGAGAGATCGCCACAATACTTAAAGTCTAACTTATTGTTTGTAATAAACGGTTAAATTGGAATTCAAAGTCGTATTAAAGCTAAGCCCTCTGAGCTAGTAATGAGTATCTTGAAGTCAGCTAAGCAGAAAGTAACTAATTTCACTAGACAAGGTCTTGTACCATACTTTAATGATATGTTGGCTAAAAAAAGAGAAGAGCTACAACTTTTTCAATAATCATAGACAAAATACTGATAGATGCCCAAATAAATAGATGGGACCAAAAGTATATATTTAATAAGACAATATAATCACTTCAGAAACCGGGTTGGATTTCGTAGCGATACAACAAATGCTATGATGGCAGTAAGTCATTCAATTTCATCCATGATTAAAGAAAAATGTCCATGTATTTATATATTGTCAAATATGGTTGCCATATGATGCAACTAGCTGTTCTAAGTGGATGTAAAAAAACAACAAAAAACTCCCGAACAGCTAAATAGTTAAAGCTTTTAAAGGAATTTCAGTAATTTTCAGGCAGTAAGATCCATAAAAAATTGGCGCCTGATCAGACCTGATGGTTGTTGGTGAAACAGTATGTGTGGACAGATATCTTGAGCTGTGGGTTACATTCCAAATTTATTACATTTCATTTGTCTTTGAAGAACCTATACATACCAGTACACTTGCTACTTTACAATTAAATAATCTGTATAATGTAAGTAACATTGCTAGAGTTATGAGTTATACATCAACAATTCTCGATTTGTTAACATTCTCCGTCAAAGTGGCGCTCCATTTTTCCATAGGATCGTGTAGAAATGGAGATCAACCAAAACATTAAACATTCGCTCCCAAATTAGTGAATGTTAAATTACTTAATGATATTATGACTTTTGATGAAAGGAAAGAGAGTGAGTATTTGCCTCTGGACTAAGCATGTCTAGTTATCAAAGCAGAGTTCACACTGACAGACATGAAAACAAACTATGCAAATATGAATCATAAAGAAATCCTCAAGGTTTATTCATCAGTCGGAAACTTCTACAAGAGATTCGTATGTTAGAGTTTGCTCTTCCACACTGGTCAATTGGTGAGTGTCAGGTATAAAAGACTGTTTAATGTAGGTAGTATTATTAATTAATTAATTTTGTGTTTGTAATTCATTGATGTCAAAGCTATCGAACGTTGTATGCAATTCATTGATGTCGAGGCTATAGAGATTTCTAGAAGATCTAAGTGATAGATGTATAAATAATGGCTACCAGACAAACAGAAACAGAGAGAAAAAGTAAAGTCATGCGAAAGAGAAGACCAGTCAGACAAAAGTTAACGGTAAAGTTAACCGTCGTTGGAGTGAAATATATATTAGAGTGAGATTAACAATTCTGAAAGAGATAAAGAGAATAAATTGTCACGTCAAAGGGTGTTCTTAAGTAACTGAACCCGCCTCAGTGGACTTTGATAAAAGACAGACGACTATTGGAAGTACGAAAGCAGACGATTATTGGAAGTACAGGTTACAACCGCGGTAGCTCAACGACAACGTAAGTGAACTATAGACGAATGCTATTGCAATATAAATAGAGAGAAAAATAGATAGGCTTGTCAACTGAATTCTAAACCAATTGAATAAGCCTAAGTGGACTTTTGACACCAAGAAGAAAACTGTATAGTGTTTAAGATACAACTGTGATCTCCATAGTGTAAAGAATTTTGTACATACGTTTAACTTGTTTCGAATATAATTTTAAAAACAAGTGGAGTGCGTGTTGTTTGTTTATTGTCGAATTTATTCCAACAAGTCACAGACACCTATTGTACAAGAATCTTTTGCCCCACACACCTACATTTAACGTACATTACTATATATTTCTACTAAAAAGTAAGTTTTCGACAATGAGATTGATGAGGAGTGAAGAGCTCAAAGTCTAGTTGACTTTCTCAACATTATGAACATTGGCGATGTATCCTCTTTTTACCCATTCATACCGATATTTTGTAATTTGTTAATTTATTGAAGATAATAAAAATGTTGTTTTGTCATCCACTCACAAACGCTGTGGCTCGTTCAGCATTATAAAAGAAGTTGGTCTGTTTTGAATTTCGCGCAAAGCTACACGAGGGCTATCTGCGCTAGCTGTCCCTAATTTAGCAGGGTAAGACTAGAGGGAAGACAGCTAGTCATCACAACCCACCGCCAACTCTTGGGCTACTCTTTTACCAACGAATAGTGGGATTGACCGTCACATTATAACGCCTCCACGGCTGAAAGGGCAAGCATGTTTGGTGTGACGGGAATTCGAGCTCGCGACCCTCAGATTGCGAGTCGAGCGCTCTAACCACCTGGCCATGCCGGGGCCTTTTCGTTATGAATCAACACGTATTTATAGAAACTTTGTTTTTAACGAAAAGAAAGAGTTGAGATTTTGTGCATTTCAGATCAATGTTGTTGTGAGTCGTAAAAATGACTGACTGTATTATTTACAATTAAACTAGCTTCTTTGTTTATGGTACTTTGTAACACCATAGAGGATATATTGTTTTTGTTTTTTTTATTTAGGAAGAAACACCTTTTTATTAAAACTTTGTTTCTTTTAATGCAAAGTGAAACGAGGTTTTCTGAATATCTGATCACATAAGCAACTTGGACTAAAAATAGCTGACTGCAGTATTTAGGATTTAACTATAGCTATTTTCTGTATATTTGTTTATTTGTTATTAAGCACACAACTTCACAATGGACCATCTCTGCTGTGCCCACTGATAGTATTAAAACTTGATTTTTAGTGTTATAAGCCCTCGTACTTATTACTGAGCCACAGGTAGACAACTTATGTATGCTACTTTGTAATTTGCGTCAATTTTTTAAATTCATCTTTTCCATATTTGATGATCAAAGTTAACCAAACGAGTTTCTCTAGAAGTAAAACAGATAAAATATGAAAATACTCGAAGTTACTCGCAATTAAAGCTTTCTAATATTTTGAAAAATTATGTCAACATTTTAATAATCATAATATCATTATTATTATTATAGAAACAGGATGAAAAAGTTGAAAACAATGAAAAGAATAAAGCAAACTTCAGTACCAATGGAGGACATTTTTCGGAATATCGATCTGTCCCCCTGGCGATAATGGAACATCTTTGTTCAATAGCTAAGGAAAATGTAACTTCGGGAAGAAAGAGCAGCTTTACCAATAACTAGCTAGCTGACTATGTACTTAATCTATGCAAACCTGCGAACTAAAATGACTCCAGTGAAGTTGTAATAACACAGGTTCTGCTGGACCAGAAATTAAAATTTTGGAGGTCTGTCAAGCTTATTAGTGACAAGATATCCGGAAAGTAAAATACTTAAGCCTAGAATTTTTGTAATATCCGATGTATATGAGACTTTGAAATAAACGAATAGGTTATAAACAGCTTAAAACTTTTTATATATACAGAAGTTGAAAATTTGCGTTTTAACATGAGAAAAAAAAATAATGCTGTGTGAGGGAGTTCTTTCTACTCACCTTTACTGTAGGGTAAGTCTTTTTGGTGGTAGTACTGAACTCTCCTGTCAAACCTCCGTGAGATCCTTTCTCGCTTTTGTAGCGATACCGAATTCTGTTAGTTGGCTGTTCCAAAAATCGAAGATATGGTTGATCTTGTTCAAGAGAGAGAGAGAGAAAAAAACAACCTAAGCACAAACTTGGTTAATTATAATACCACTTATAACTACTCTCTCCAGTTGAAAGTAGTTATAATAACATCTATAACTACTTCCAACTGGAGAGAGAAGAAGAAAAAATATACAACCATGCCAGTAAAACATTTATTTACTTTTAGAAGAAAAAAAATAATTTCAGTTAATTTGTAAAAGTCAATTGAAGAAGTGAGAAGGGGAAAAAGGAAAACCTTAGTTGTAGAATTAGCGACAAAGCATTTCGCGTGGGCAGTTTTACGTTATCGATATATAGTTTAATATTAGAGTCACCAGGATAGAATAATACAGTTCTTTTAATATATCAAAATTCGTGTTTTTAGGTGTTGTAAAATGACGCAAACTTAATTTGAATCTTACTGTTATTACAATGTTAGGCCTGCAAATTAGTCCGGTTATATACACATTGAGTAATATACCAGGAAGGCTCCTTTATTTATTATTACAAAGTAAGGCCTGTAAGTTCGTCTGGTTATATCACATTTAGTAATATATCAGGAAGGCTCCTTTATTTATTATTACAATGTTAGGCCTGTAAGTTCGTCTGGTTATATATACATCTAGTAATATATCAGGAAGGTTCCTATATTTATTATTACAGTGCTACCAGTTCGTCTGGTTATATACACATCGAGTAATTTACCAGGAAGGCTCCTTTATTTATTAGTACAATGTTAGGCCTGCAAGTTCGTCTGATTATATACACAACCACAGACAAAAAAGGACCACAACGTGAGCGTCACAATGATTTTCTCAGAAGTGATCCTCTCTCTTCACGCTGCATCTTCCTTTGATAATATATATCTATATACTCACACTCATATATAACACAGCACGTGTTATGACAAACAATTCGTTGATGAATATGTTATGTTGAAATAAATATTCACGCAAATTTCAAAATTCAATTCAATACTAAAAATATACGCCTTATTTAATGGAAGCTAATGTGTGCGTCACACTTATACATATATTTGTCCCTTATTAAAATTTTTCTTCTTCACCTTATCGCATAATATAAGGAAAACATACTGTAATCTGAGTCCTTCAGATTATACATCGTATCGTATCGAACTGGCTAGGAATACGTAGGTGTGAAAAAACAGCCACAGATTTCTGAAGTGTATTTGGTTATTCTAGTGTAAATGAAAATATGAAAGATATATCCTGGCCAGAACGTGATTTTTACCCCTATGATGTTTGCCTAGTTAGTACGATGTAGAACAGTGTGGTATATGCCTATTTACTTTGTACTGAGAAATGGGACCGCTGGTCGCTCAATACGTCACAGTTGCGGTGACAAGGCGGTTCGTGGAATTAACGTTTCTTTCGTCCAAAAGGAGGTTCGTCTCTGGCGACGTCTCTGTCATATTCAGTTTTTACGGACGGTATATAATTGACATTAGTTTCACGATATTTGTATTTATTTATTTATTTGTTTGCATTTCACTGCAATCCGATACGAAACAACACATGATCAAAGTACTGTTCCAACATCTACTTTTTCACAGGTTTGTTAGGCCTGAATATTTCAGAGAATAAATTTATTTTTTTAAGCAAAATCATCGAACGTCAAAGGTTCCGATATAAACACAAATCACCTTCAACATTTTAAGCTGGTTGATCGATTTCAAAATGATGTCGAAAATCTAAATTAGTTTAAATTCCAGGAACATTTTACATCTATTTCTCTAGACGACCATGTCACGTATCAAAGCGTCTAAACATCAGCTAACATGTGTTTGGTTTCGACGAGGTAAGCGGGTACTGGATTTTCAGGTTTTCTATTTAACGAGTGACACATTAAACGGTGCTTATTCTATTGCGTTTGCCTATAAGTAATTTCTGGCATTAGTCATCTCCTGCTTGGCTATCTCCGTTGGATACACATAGTCTAAAATAAAGATAAATTGGTTTACTACCTCATAGAGACAGACGTCGTTGCGTTTCTATGACTGTAAAATACATGTGTATACAGATTAGGAGTACATTTATATAAATAAGTTAGTGCATTGTATCGACATTAACACACAAGATGTATGTTTATACCTTGTGTACTTTGTGCTACTGACTTCTTGATGTATCCAGTGTTTATAGTTAACGTCTATGGAACATATTCATCCTGTCATAGATGGCGGAACTAGGGGGGACATTGAGGATACGCCCCCCCCCCCCCAATTTTGTTTCGTGAAATAAAAGCTTGTGTATAATTATCAGGGAAAAATGATGTTCCATCTTTGAATTCCATGGCCATGGCTAACACAGCCAGTTAGGTTTTCCCAGACATCGGTGACCCCCCCCAAATTCACATTTGTTCCTCCGTCTATACATCTTGATATTTATAACTTTTTTTTTTTGAGCAAACTGTTTGACAGGTAATAAGGTCTAGCACTGAATCGAAAAATAAATTGAGTTCAAAATTAACCGATCAAAATGAGGCAACTCCTGGCGAAATAAGGTGATTAATACATAAACTTTCTAAGCTGTAAGTTGTAATTAGCTGTGTCAAGAACGTCTTACACAACTAGCTAAAAAAGATGCTAACTGTAACTCAGTATACTGATCTTCCTCAGCAATTTGCTAATCAACCACCAAATGAAAGGCTATCCTTCAGAGATAAAGTTGTATTATGATAAATCACAAATACATCCGGTGTGCAATTACAGGGTTGTTTGAACACTGTGTAAGAAGTGAATCCATATTAATAACGCTCATTCTTCTTCTCTTAAACAAGTAGATACCAATTTAATAACCGCCAATTTAACTGTTATTTTTCAAGCGCAAAAGAAACACATCCCGTTCCTGTCTTTAGGTGTAAGCATCAGACTAAAATGAAGGTGATTAAGCAACTATTTTTATATGAAAATTGTATTCATATCAAGTATATATAATTATAACAACAGCAATTTTTCCAACTTTTACTTTCTTCATGCGGTTTTTCGCACTTATCTATTTTACGCTGGATATATCTCTACGTATGATTTCCTCACTACATAGACTTCGACTTACCAGCCGGTAAACCTAAATTATAATACACAAATTAACTGGTTTGCAACTAATCTTCTACGCATGCGCAAATTTTCTTTATTATTTAGTCCAGAAATTAAAAAGATATACATCAAACAATTTTTGGATTATTTAAATTCGAAACATCCTAACATTAATTTTACTTGTGAAACTAAAAAAAAAAAAAACAAACTGTAAAATGTCTTTTCTTTTTTATCCAAATTAGCAGATTAGATAACCATTTCACAGCATCAGTTTATCGCAAAAGGAAAAAAAAACAAGGCATACACAGGCTTATATACTCGATTTCACAGTTTTATTACGAATTCCTTTAAATGTAACTTTATACTCAGTCTTCTCAATAGAGCATATAACATCTAACTACCTCTCTCTTCATACCG